CTGGGAGTGCAATCCTATCTAGCATTACACCCTTGTTGGCTCATTAAAGTCTTAGAAGGGTATAGCTCTCCTTATGTTTGCACTGGTAGTCCTTGGCATTGCCACAGCTATTTCCTTTATGCAGAATCTTAGGAAAACTACATTCCCAAAAGATTATGTATATGTATATACATTTTAAATATATGTAAGTACACATACACATATGCATGCACATGGGGTATTGAGCATAGTCCTTGTAAATTTATCTCAATTTTTCTAATAGCCTAGACCATGTTAATGTTAATATGCTGTGCAGAATCTATACATATGCTAAAGTCAAGGCTTCAGCAAAAGAGGCAGAAAATAAGGTTGCACTTACCTGTAACTGCTGTTCATCAAGTGGTCTTCTGTGCAGGCACACATGGGACTGCACTTCCACAGGCTGGCCCATGGAAAGGAGCTAGCAAGCTATTTGAGAAGATTCTAGAGTCCCAGGAGTGCTCTCCCTCTCTGCAACATGCTTCATATTTTTCCTGCCCAAATGGTCACATGACCAAGGAGAGGGGAAACACTCCTCCCTCAGTTCTCCCTTCAACACCATAAGAACCTGAGCCGAAGCTAGCAGCCCTCAGCAGGGAAAGGAGGGAGGGATGTGTGCCTGCACAGAAGGCCACTCGATGAACAGCGATTACAGGTAAGTGCAACTCTGTTTTCATCTTTGTGGCTTCTGTGAAGTCCCACATGGGAGAACAGCAAGTTCAGTCATCATGGAGGAGGGCGTGGGCTGGATCAACAGAAGAGTGACTGTAACCAGGGGTCATTTCGTAGAAAAAGAGGTGCAGGAGCTCATTAGCATAACTTATTTGCATATGACACACACCCTGACAGAAATGTGTCAGAAGGCAACACCCACTGCTCAGGCTCCACCCCAGAAATCTCCAGGTAGTGGCCATTGATGCATCCAGAGTGGTTTTGGACAGCCCTATTTATATGGACATAAGAAGCTGATTTACACTGTCAGACTCTTTAGTCCACCTTGCTTGACATTGTCACTTCTGATTGGCAGTGGTACTCTGACGTATCAGGAAAAGTAGGATGTTTCTCCACACCTGCTACTTGAGATCCTTGGAGTCCTATTTGCACAGCTATTAGGGAGTAATCCTCATTAGACTTAGTGAAACTTACTTCTGAGTAAACATATACAAAATTTGACCTGTGCATACAAGTACTTTGGTTTGGTGGGGGTGCAGATCCACTACCAATGCAATGCCACCTCTCCTGAAACAACAGGCACCTACATGAATAAATCCCGGTTCCCAAAGATGTCTTGGGAAATCATTAATTTTGGTTTCCAAATAATGGATGATCATCAACCCAAACCTTAAAGGCTCTGCCCTAACTCAGGTTGCAGACAAAGCTACACAAGCGTTAGCCTTGGAACTGGCACCTAAAACCTATACCTAAGTATTTTGAAAGGAAAGGCCCTGAGCTTCTGCAGAATTTGCCCCAAAGCAAAGCTATTTTTAAGATCATCACAGGGGAAATAAGAGTCTGAGGGATTTTTAAGCGTATCAACCCTTTAAACCTCTGAAGTCTCTATCCTGCCTGCAGAAATCCTGGATGGCTTTTTGCATCTCTCGGAGCTGCTGCAATGCTCAGAATACTCCCCTGGGAGCAAGCCCAGTAGTAATCTTTTGTAATACAGGCTCTATGGTCCTCACACAGAGAGCGAGACACCAACAAACTGGTGGGAAAGCCAAATACAACCCCTCCCATTACAACCCTGACCAAAACCCATCAGATATTATCTGCCTGACATTAAAATTTACCTCTGAATGCTCTTATTTTAATTTTACACAACAGGCTGATAGATGTGTGATTTCAGCACCGTCATGTCCTGATATCTGCCTTTTTCTCATCACCCTCCTCCCTTGAACTGGGAACCATTTCCAAACAAGATTCGGGAACTTCCTGCTTTATACATGCATCATTTCCCAAGTGTGCAAAGGCCTGGGATGAAGAAAACTACCTCACTCCATTTCTACTGCAAGCCAGGACAACAAGAAAGGGGGGGGTGGTCCAAGTAATGCAGCACAAGACCTTGCTCGCTCTCATTTCCAAATGAGAAGCCTCACTAGAGCCAAGCTTAAGGGTCTAAGAGGGAGGCAAAATGGCTACCAAAGGGCAAACTCTATCCGGCCAAGGTCAAGTGGCCACAGTCAGGTGCTCTCTGGGCCCATTAAGGAAGCCTGCCTAAAAGAGGACTGCCTTTGGCGAGCGGCCTCTTCACGTGGCCAAGCGGTGTGCCCGCTGGCCTCGCAATCACTTTCCACCTGGGCTTGCCTCTACCCACGTGCGCCTAGGGTGGGAGAAGAGGAGACAGAATTCAGATTGGAGCCACGTGGCCCAGCAGCCTCTTCTCACAGGTCTCACACGGGCCCGCTGCCGATGCTCTGCAGCACACTCCACTCGCTCATTTCCCCGCCTTTTCTCAGCGCACAAAAAACAAAGTGCAACCCACTGCTCCAACAAGAAAGCGACCCCAAACAGTGAATCGGCCATTGCATATCAATCTACTATTTTTCCCACCAGCGCCAACCTCCTGAACCCAGGCTGAATCCAAAAAAAGCACCCACAACTGCAGTCTGAACGCTTTCGCAAGGCCAGTTTACAGCTCAAGCCCACCCCCAGAAAAAGAGGGAATGAAAACCAGACTGACAGCAATCAGCTGTTTCCACTGCTTCGGTGCAAGAAGACTCTGCCAGAGCGTTCTGCACAAGATCAGGAGGTCGGCGCTGGCGGGGGAAGAAGGAACCTTCGCTTCAAGCAGCTTGAATGACAACTAGCTGCGCCTGCACGCGGCAAGGGGGGCATAATTAATATTGCAAACTATGGTGATGCTCCGCCCCCAATTGAAGCCAACAGAAGAGAGCACTTGTGCAGTAGGAGAAATGAAGAGAGAAGGGGTTTAAAGTTTAAACCCCTTCTCTCTAGAGTTGTGCTGCAGCAGCGGCATGATCTCTCTATTCTATTATATGGGGCCAGTGGCATGACTCTAGAGAGAAGGAGCTTGGGGGCTGGGAGCTGGGGGCGGAGCTTGCCGCCACCGCCATTTTGCCTGCTCCTGGGCTGCCAGAGCAGCACTCCAGTGCGCTCCGGCCCCAAACGACCCCTGACTGTAACACTGCTTTCTCCACAGCCACCTTGAATTAAATACTGGGTTCAAGACATATTGCAGTGAACAGCTCTACTTTATTAAGTGATTCAGCAGATACAAGTAGTGATTCAGTAGATACAAGTAGATACAGGACAATAATCCTGTTTAAATAGCATGCATAAACCACACGCAAACACACCCAACTTCCAACGATAGGCTATTTACATAACATTAGTTTCTCATTGGTCACCTCCAGAGTCCTGGTGGGCTATTGTTCTGGAGCTCTAAGCTCAGCCAGTCTCTGGTACCCAGTCTTGGAATATTCCAGCCCTAATACATAACACCACCCATCTAGATAGCGTCTGTGTAGTGGCTGCTCTACCTTTATTATGACCTCTGAAGCAAACAAATAAGGACTGTCTCTCCTGAACTCTTCTGTCCCTTTCAAATAAAAGAGAAGAGCCCTCCTAACATCTCATGTGTGTAAAGTTTTTTCTGCAACATCGCTCAGAGATGGGAAAAAACCTGGGAGGGTAATATTCTGAGCTAAGTGGAATTTTGAGACTACTTTAGGCAGAAATTCGAGTTGTGGTCTAAGCACTACCTTTTCTATGTAAAATTTTAGAAGGGGAGAATCACAGCACAGAGCACTAAGCTCTCCAACCTGTCGTAGCTCAGGAAGGATGGCTCCAAAACAAACTAATTTATGCAGTAGCCACATCGCTCGCTCACAACTTTAATGCCAGTAGCTCAGAAAATAGAATTTTTGCTCACAAGACTCCACCACTTAGAGAGAGCATTGGTGACAGCTGTTATGGATGCCATATATCCTAGCAGTTTCTGAATATTCCTCACCATTTGAAATCTGCGAGATAGGAAGCTGTTAGTGATTTAATTCGAGCCGCCTGGACACCGAGTCAAGGTGGGCATCTATAAATTCAATGTTCTGGGTTGGAATTAAATGTGACTTTTCTGCATTGATAATGAACCCTAGCTTGTCAAGGGTCATTAGTGCACAGGTCAAGCTCACAGTGAGCAATCGGGGACTTGGCTACCAAAAGCCAGTCATCTAACCATGGATATATTGTACAACCTTGGTACCTAAGGTAAGATACCAGTACTGAAGTGCATTTAGTAAAAATCCTGGGAACTGATGCTAAACCAAAGGGCAACACATTATACTCATAAACATTGTACTCACCATACAAGAAATGCAAATACTTCCTACAGGATAGACATATAGCAACATGAAAGTAAGCATCCCTGAGGTCAACGGTAGCAAACCACATCCCCCTAAACAGAAGGGGTAGGACCTCTTGCAAGGACAGCATTCTGAACTTCAGTACATAGAGAAACTTATTTAGGACCCAAAGGTCCAAGATAGCTCACATATCACCACTATTGCAAAAAACCTGGGAAAAATCCATATTGGTGTGAGTATTGGGGACACTTCACTATAGCTCCTTTCTGCAACAGTGTAGTGACCTCCTTGTTGAGGAATGGTGTACACTGTGTGGGAGTACCAGAAGGGAGATGGCAAGGAGGCAGAGACTGGAACTCCAACATATAACCATCATTTATTATAGATAATACCCATATATCATTTGTAACAGAGAACTAGAACATGGAGAACATAGCCAACCTATTCAGGAAAATCTCTCCTTATCTAGTCAGGGGAGTCCAGAACCCCTTTGCTGCTGTTCCCTGGATGATTGGGAAGGATTGTTGTTCTTGTCTATACATTGCTCCATCCCTTAAGGTTGTTGAGAGTACTGCGGCTTTGCAGAGCGTTGAGAAAAAGCCTGATATCTATAACCAGAGTATCTAAAACGCCTAGTAAATTGGGGTCTATGTTAATTTCTAGGTCAATGCAAGTGTGTATTGTCAACCCCCAGGAGATTTCAACCACAGAGATGGTGATGATGGGGATCGTTGCTGCTGAGAAGGCACACTGCAGCTCGGCGATGGCAAGCATGCCAGCAATATGCGGTGTGTATTTTTTTTCTTCGCCTTTTTGTTGGCTTTTCAGAAGAGGATTGTATTAGGGTTGGTGTTTCAGGTGGTGAAGGGGCCGTCATGGAGCTTACTGAGGGAGCTCTCGTCACTGTCTTGGCACCCATACCCTTTTCAATGGTGGCCTGAGAAGCTCCCAAAGCTTTCCCACACAACACTACTTTTAAATACACTGCCCATCCTTCACTGGCCTTGGGGGTTAAAAGACAGCAAGCCAGACAAGAAGCTGTGTTGTGACCTTCTCCAAGGCACAACAAACACAAATTATGTTCTGGTTGTCCCTGGCCCTCCACTTAGCCTCAACTAGGGCCAGGACCTTCACTGTCCTGGCCTTTACCTGGTGGAACATGCTCCCACTTGAGATCAGGGCTTGCGGAACTTATTACAGTTCCACCAGGCTCTTAGTTGAGGCAGTGGACACCCAACTAGCTGGCCTCTCTGTACAGAGCCCATGTAGAGACTACCCTGCAGAGAGGCGGTCTGGATCATCTACCTATATAGAGTCTTGGGTTATGTAAATGTGACTCCAGTATCATCTATCCGGTTTATGGGGGGTTTAAATTGTTTCTTGCCATCTTTTAATTGATTAACTGTTTCTGGTTTTAGTTGTTTTTAGATTAATTGTGTTAACTGGTTTTTATTGTTATGTGCTTTGATGTTACCCGCCCTGAACCCATTTGGGAAGAGAAGCGGGATATACATTTAATTAATAAATAAATAAATGTTTGTCATTTTGTGCCATTTTTGTACCACAGTCCACATATTTTTTACAAGTGCCATCTCACCAGAATCCTGAGGTGTTTTATTGCCTTTTTTCAGTCACGGATGTTGTCAGATCAGCTTGCTGAAATTTGTCCTTCCCTTACGGCAACAATAAGAGAACTGAGAGAGGCGTGCTCCCCCTCCCCTTGGTCACAAAGCCATGAAGATAAATGCTCAGTTCTCCAGGCAGTTAAAAGATATTGAGAGAGAGTTGTGAAACACTTTTAAAGGAAATATAGGGACACATAATTACCAAACATTGCCTGTAAAACTAGATCTTTAGGTAGTTTAGAATAATGAAGTATAGATTCCATACTTGACATTTCAGCAACAATACTAACAAAACAGCAGCAACCCACAGCCCAAGACTGAAACTGCCTTTTTTTTTTAAAAAAAGAGCCAAATTAAAATATTAAAAATCTTCAGTTTTTTAAGGGCACCAAATGGAAGGATTAGGTTAGTGATCTGACAACTCACGTGGCATACTGAGACAACCCTGACACTCAGGGTGCAGTGGCTATGAAAAATAATTTTGCTGAGTGCTAAAACCCAATTAACATGTAAATGTCAGGTACACACATGTCACTTAATTAATTTCCTTGGTATACGATTATTAGAGGGACTGAGGAGAGAATTTATGAGGGTATAGGGGTCCACTAGGGATGGCAGCCTTTTCAGTATATAGATACTTCACTAGGATTGAGTGCTGGATGGCTCCTCTTTCCTCAATCAAAGTAATATTTTCTTATATATTCCTTTTGAAGTGAAAGTTCTTTAAAATTAATCAGTTTTTGAACCAGCTTGCATCGATGAACAACACAATGAGTTAAACAAACGTGTGTGTGTGGGGGGGTTCATCTCAATGGTCTTCAGCTTTTCCACACCCAAGACTTATCTTTAATGCCCAGGTGACAGCATGTGTGTGCTTGCAAGGACAGACAGGAGTCACAGTGTCCTTGTTCTGTGTAGGGAAGTGTGTGGTCCTGGGAAAAAAGATAGGAGACTAGGGATGGGCATGATCCACATTTTTTGCAGTTCAGTTTGGTTTGTGGTTTGTGGCTGATGAATTCATGATGAACTTTAGTTTATCAATTGGTTCATGCCCATCTCTACAGGAGACTCAAGATTAGGACCTCCAAGGTAGCCTTTTCACAAGTGCTGCCTATTCCATGCACAGGGCCAGCTAGACAGGCACAAATTAGGAGTCTCAATGTGGGGATGAGATGATGGTGTAGGGAGGAAGGGTTTAAGTTTGTTCAGCACTGGGATGCTTTTTGGAACAAGCAGGACCGATACAAAAGAGACAGCCTCCACTTGTCCTGAGAAGGAACCAGGCTGCTGGCACTTAAGATCAAAAAGGTGGCAGAGCAGTTTTAAACTAAATCCTGGGGGAAAGCTGACAGGAGATGAAATGTCTCTGGTTCAGGATGACTCATCTCTAAGAGATGAAGGAGTAGCTATTACTGTTCTAGAGGATGGATTAGGACTGGCCACTGAGAGGGTGACAAACAATATTGACTGCTTGACAAGGTCTACAGGCCACAGGAGGAAGGTTGCAGGCATAACATGTCTGGGGAATTATAGATGTTTATATGCCAACACTAGAAGTGTCGGAGGTAAAATGGAGGAGCTGGAATGCTTAGTGTCAGAGGAGAACATAGACATTGTGGGCATTTCAGAAACTTGGTAGGATGAGGATAATCAGTAAAACACAGTGACTCCTGGATATAAATTATATCAGATAGGGTGGGAAGGGTCAGAAGTGGAGAGACTCTGTATGTCGGAGAGGGTATACAGTCCAGTTCAACTGAGAATCTAAGAGAAATCTATTTGCCTACAGAAATGCTATGGATGGAAACAGTGGGTCAAAAAGGAAGCTTAATTCTGGGAGCTTTGTTATTCCCAGCAGATAGAAGGTTAGAAGACTATTTGAATTGTGTTTTAAGTGGTTAACTGTGTAATTTTATCGCACTTTGGGTGCCTAAATTGTGTTAATCGTGTTGCATTTTATTGCACGGTTGTGCCTATGTAAGCCGCCTTGAGCCCGCGTGTGGGGAGGGCGGGGTACAAATGTAATAAAATAAATAAATAAATAAATAAATGGTGCGACCTCATTTGGAATACTGTGTGCAGTCTGGTCACCCAACCTTAAAAAGGATATTATAGCTTTGGAAAAAGTGCAGAAAAGGGCAACTCGAATGATAAAAGGGTTGGAACACTTTTCCTATGAGGAAAGTTTAAAGCGCTTAGGGCTCTTTAGCTTGGAGAAACGACGACTGAGGGGTGACATGATCGAGGTTTGTAAGGTTATGCATGGGATAGAGCAGGTCGAGAAAGAAGTACTTTTCTAGCTTTCTCACAATACAAGAACTCGTGGGCACTCAATGTCTCCCCTAGTTTGTAGTTTCTCTTCCCTTATTTCTTTGTAGTTTGTAGAAAATTGCATAAATAAAAAAATCCCCTATGGGGAGCTTAAAAAAAGTGTATAGAATGAACCCCCTGCAAGCTACACACACCAAATGCACAAGGAACCTCACCCTGCTGCCCAATCCTCTACAATATCTCCAAGTTGCGGGTGGATTACATTTCTGGTGTCCCAGCTATGCCCCCCCCAAAAAAGGTCTCCCCATTGCTCTCTCTGGAAAAGACAACTGCAATTACAGGGGTCTATGGAACAGCTCAGGAACAAGCCAGTGACTCCAAACTCACAGGGAAACTTCACCTGGGCAGACCCCCCTCCCCGCCAGACACTGGAAGCAAGGCAAGCATCCCCCCCATGCTCACAGCCCACCCCAAGTCTTCAAAGGCAGGTTCTGAATGACAGAAAGGCAAACATCCCCCAGAGTTCTGACAGGGGTTCCCCAAAGTTGCCCCACAACAGCTTGGCAGGTACCCTAGTCACACCACATGAGCAAGGGAAGCAGACGAATGGATTTTGAAGCAAGCTCTTAGGATTGCTCCTAGGACTACAAAATATGGTTTATGCATGACAAAGTGTTAAAAGCCACTCCTCTGTTTGCTTCAAATTCCTGAACACCTCTGTATACCATGAGGGTGAAAGTGGGTGCAAAGGGTGCTTATTGTGGGGGGGAAGAGGTCTACCCCCTGTGTACCATAGGCCCCCATGCCCAAGCACCAAACCCATCCTACCAGGCCACTAGCAGGGCATCACCAGGGGTCTCAGAGCCTCCTTATGATGTGTTCCTGGGGCTTTCTCATAGAGGATGTAGCCATTGCCAATTGTCAGCTGCAGTGGTGATGGTCAAGGCTCAGGTCTCCAGAGCGTAAGGCAGACCTCTGGAGTAGCTAGTAGGACTGTGAGGGTACAGATCTGCCACTGGGCTACAAAACGGTTCTGCTCCATGTTCAGGGGATGAATACAGACCACACAGCACAAAACATCACTGCCGTGTGATACAAAGTAGCCTGAGGGAGAGGGTGGGTGGCAGCAAAGTAACCCATGGCTACACAGACATGGACGCCAGCACCAACCTGCTGGCAGAGGTGAAGTGAGTGCACCTCAAGCACATCATCTGCCTAGCGCACATGCTTCAGCTGGTGGTGAAGAATGCTCTGGGGCTGGGGAACACTGTCAAGGTCACCTGGGTCACTGCCCCCCTTGAGATGTGGTTGTTGCTCAAGACCTGTCGGTGCCTGCCTACCCACTTCTTGCTCAGCATCAAATCTGCCCATCTGCTGCATGAGAGGCAGGGGGAGGGGATGAGGAACTCTTCCTGTGCCATGATTGGATGTTTGGTGGAGCAGAAGAGGATTATCTCCTCCATGACCATCCTGCACAGGGAAGTGGAGATCAGCATCAGCTCCAGTGATTGGCTGACCCTCTCCCAAATGGTGCATGTCCTCAAGCCCTTCCAGGACACCACCAATGTGCTGTGCACTCATATTGCTAGCCTGGGGCAAGTAATCCCCCTGATTTGAGGGCTGGACCGGGTGCCAGCCTCCACATTGGAGCCAGTTGTTCTCCCACAAGTCAGGACCTTGGCAGAGAGGTTGCAGGTGGGCATCACCATCAGGTTGCATCCTCTCTGTGTCACGGGCTGGGGTGCCAGTCAAAGGGAGTCCAGAACAGTCCAAGGTCAGAAGCCAAGAAGACAGTGCAAAGTCCAAAGCCAAGCCGGGGTCATGAGCCAGAAACACAGAGCCAAGTCCAAAGCCAGGGGGTCCGAAAGTCTAAGTGCAAGAGCTGAGCCTAA